TTCTTCTTCTTCTTCTTCTTCTTCTTCTTCTTCTTCTTCTTCTTCTTCTTCTTCTTCTTCCTCTTTCTTCTTCTTGAGCTTTTTCTCTACCTCCTCCTTTTCCTTCTCTCTTCCTCCTCTTTTTTCTCTTCTTCTCTTCTCCTTTTCCTCCTCCTCTTTCTCTTCTTCTTCTTGATATTATTATTATTTGTTTAGCACAACTAAACATAAAATGAGTAGAAAATAAATAATACAACAATTTGAGCTAGCTGATTCTTTAGCCAATTATTGGGGGTGGAGGAGTAAGAATCACTAAACTCCCCCACCTGCAAAATGGTGATAAAGCTTCTCTACTCTACTGCTTGACAGAGGTCTTCTGTTGTCAAATTACAAAACAGGTACTAATGATTTGGAGATTTTCAAAAAGAACTTTGTCTATAGTCAGTCAGTACTCTTTTACCCAAAAGATTTTCTTCAGCTTAATTTGTCTCTGGACAATTAAAGTCTCACAAAGTTCAGAATGAGTTCTAAATAAATGACTTGTAACTGTGACCTTTTACCCAGAAAACACAAAGTCTATTTGTTTGGAATTAATGAAGAAACCTTTTCTGTTTAAATAGTTAAGTAATATTTAAAGAGTAAGATGGTTTATCACCAGGAGCAGGGGGAGTGGCGGCTATGAAATGTGATGTGCTATGATGTTATTGAGCTGTCATATTGTGTTTGTTCCTCTTGCTGTGAAATGCATATTACTATGCTTCCTTTTAAAAAGGCAGATTCAAGACAGCAGAAATCAGGAATAACCAATAAGCTCATCAAGGTTTATATATGATGTATTAAAGAGAAGGCACTAGGATTTATGCGTTCAATCTAGTAAGAGTGAATGAAGAAAATATTAGAACTAAGGAGAGTGTCACAGTTATTCAATGCATTTGCAATCACTGTTTATCTACTTCTCTCTGTCCTCTGCCTAAGTCTATCATGGGCTGCATTAGACAATCAGCTGCACACAACCCTACTATTAGCAAGCAGATGGCTGGCACACAGTTGCAATCTGGCCCTGGTTGCTGACTGTTCTATCTTATACTCAACCTCTGTCACCACTGCAGGAGAGACAGATGAGTTGGCAAGCAATTGTTCCTCACCAGGCCCCTTCCCAGACTTCCTGCAGATGCCTAAAGTAATAACAACAGGCAGACAGACTGGTAGACAGTTCCTACCCTGGGCCTGAACCTTCCCATGGCTTTAAGCCTCATACTGTCTACTGTCCTCCCTCTTCTCCTTTATCCTCTCAAAGTAGCAACAGCACACTTCTTATGCTCAGTGTGGTCCTCATCACATACTGAATAGTAGACTGCTATATGAATTTGTCTCTTAGCCTTACTTATTCAAGTAAGACCTTCAAACTCTTTTTAAAAAATATACTTAAGATAATTTAATAAGTACTGTTTAACATAATTTGAGATCTATTTAAAATTCTCTTTTCTCTACTTAAAAATAAAATTTCCTTTGATATAATTTACCTTTTTTCTTTCAGATGAATTTTATTATAATTTTTATTTGTATATTTTTACTACAGCATTAATTGTAGATTAACTTGAGTCATTTTTTTCTGTATCAGTATGACTCAACCATGAACATAGAATATCTGTCTAATTGCTCATGTTTTTTAATATACTTCTGGGGGAAAATTTGTGGTTGTGATTATGTAAGTCCTATGTGTAACTTCCAAATATTTAATGAATTTTGCTATTTTAATAGTATTTTTCTTTCAATACCTTCTTCCTTCCTTTTGTTAATAACTCCTTTGGGTTCATGAGGCTGATTTTTCAGAAACTCTCTCTTATTTGTTTCCCCACTATTTAATAATAAATGCTTTCTAAGTAAATGCTTTTGAAAGAATGAAATGCTCTTGAATGAAATTCTTT